TGCCGCATACAGCCCCAACACTGTTGGTGGTGGCTGGCCGAAGCAGGCGAACAAGACTCAGGGCCGTGGCTTTTTCACGTCCAACCGGAGGTACTCTGGCACGCTCACGCGATCCGTTTCTGACACCTTTGCCGACGTCTGGAGCCAGCCTCGTCTCTTCTGGAACTCGCTCAACAAGGTTGAGAAGCAGTTCCTGATCAACGCTATTCGCTTTGAGACCAGCAAACTCACCTCGGACGTCGTCAAGTCGAATGTTCTTATCCAGCTCAACAGGGTCTCGCACGACATTGCTCAGCGTGTGGCCAAGGCCATTGGGATGACTGCCCCTGACCCGGACCCGACCTACTACCACGACAACACCACTCAGTCCGTCCGCCCCTTCAGCGACAAGCTTCCCAAGCTCGACGGTCTCAAGGTCGGCATCCTGTCGTCCGTCAGTGCCGCCAACGCGTCGTCCATCAGCTCGGTCAAGTCTGCACTCAGCGCCAAGGAGGTTGACGTCAAGGTCGTGGCTGAGAGCCTTGCCGACGGCATTGACCAGACTTACGCGGCCTCTGATGCCACCGACTTTGATGCAGTCATCGTCGCTTCTGGCGCTCAAGACCTCTTCTCGAGCAACTCTAGCAGCACTCTGTACCCTGCTGGTCGCCCAGGTCAGATTCTTCTTGAAGCTTACCGCTATGGCAAGACTGTTGGCTCCTTTGGCGCCGCTGGTTCGGCCCTCTCCGCTGTCGGCATCCCAAGCGGTGACGGCGTCTACCGCGATGCGACTGCAGACAACATCATCTCCGGCCTGGAGACCTTCAAGTGGCTGTCCCGCTTCCCTACCGACGACTAGATCAGTTAGTCTGTTGTAGTGTATTTTTTCCATCTCTACCACAACGCCCACCCATTGTCTAGACCGGTCTTTTCTTTGTCACTAGGAGTGGCTTAAAGGACACGGGACAAGGTCACAGGGTTCTTCTTGTACATAGTTTCTCGACGAGCATCTCCGCTGGCCACAAGCGCAAGACTGCTGAAGAGGATTTTCCTTGACGACTGATACCAGATCGCTCAGGCGAACGGCTTAATGAATAATCCACAACGAATCAAAAGATACAAGTGCCTTGTGCCTATTCTTCCGTCTCCCACCGCAGCGTCGTGCTACTGAAACTAGGTTCACAGTGCAGGCCCTCCTTCCTAATCCGGTAAGCATAGTCGCCAATAAGAACGACCTCCTCTGCGACCGCAACTGCAACCGCACCGCAGCTTCCTTGTCCCTGTCACCGCCCCACAGTCATCCAGCCAGCCGGTCGGGCTGACCACTGCAGCGCTGGGCTCACGCTCGTCGTTGGTGCAACTTTGCAAGTGCTTAGCAGAGACTGACACTTGCGCGCGCACATATGGAGGATACACCCTTGCCGCCGCGACGACTGATCGGCATAAACAACTGCGCTCATCCATGGCGGGCCACCCAACAGGTCGGCCAGCTGCTGCAACCACAAATTTCTCTATCCAATGTCGAACAGACCTGCTCACGCCCCAAGAATAGCCGCGCTTGCCCAACCGTTGTATGCCCTCCTACACACCTGTCGCAAACATTTCTGCTCCTGCGCACGCGTCGGCTTTTGATGATGGATCAGAAGTGAGGCTCAGCATTCACCGACCGTCCCACTCGACCGCCTCCACGCATCGACGCCTTTTTGGAGAGCCAGTGAAGAAGCTCCCGCGCCAACTAGTCCCACGGTACGTCAGTCATAGCAGTCAGCAGCTGGGGCACAGAAAGACTGCGCCCTCGCCCTACCACTTTATCCACCGCGGTTCCTTGGGTAGTTCACTTCCATACTTTTAGTCAACACTACCGCTGGATCTCCGCTATTGAGACTACGTATCTGTTTGGGAAGTGAATGACCGAGTTTTGTTGTGTCTATCCGGCTTGCGCCAATTTTGGCGCTTACGGTTGACGCTCTGACTTTGTTGCACTGTACATGAGACATTCCAACAACCTCACAAGATCACCACCTTATCGCAATGACCTCGAGGACAAGCTGAACTCAACCTTTCATCTCTTCGCGGCCTTGCACCTCTCTCCTCCTCCCATTACCTTCATCCTGCCCAGCAAAAATAAACACAACCGCAGCCCATCTCAAAGCAGAGAAGCGCAGCGACGTGACACGCCCTTGTCTTACCATTTCAGTCGCGCAAGTCCTTTTGTCTCGCCCTATCCTGCGCTTGCTTCCCTGCCTGTCTCATCCTTACGCCACAGTGCGGGAGGGCGACGGGGGTGCAAGGGAACAGGGATTGGTGGTCGGCGGGTGCGGCGGGGAAGGCGCGGGGATGCGGGGAGTTCGGATTGTCGGGTTGGGTGGTGTTGCACAGGCAAGAAAGCGTCAGCAGGAACATGGGCAAGGAATGCGAGTGGGCGTGGTTGGATTTCTAATTGAAGAGATTGTGAGGTGTGAGGTGTTGTTGTTGCGGTGGCGGGCACATTAACGGAGCGCGGTATTGCGGAGACTAGAGATGACGCCGTTGGTACTACCTGTGGCACCGGGGAGCTGGGGATGCGGTGCTCTGTTCCTGGAACAGCAAGTGACTAGTCCCGGTTGTATTGTACCTGGAATGGTCGAGGGGAGCGACTACTTGGAGACTGCAGTTCGCTGAGAGGCAAATCTTTTGTATAGTCGGTTTCCTCTTCGCTATATCTTCTAAACCTTAGTTGGCTGGCAAATAGAACCCAATGTCCGCGCATGTCAAACTTTGCCTTTCGGCGGGGAACCTCTCACATTGCGCCTTCATCATCCACTTTCATCATCCAACATTTCCAAATTTATCTCTGTCGTGCTGCGTGGATTCCTGCTTTGATGGCCTGCAGACATTGAGGTGAGGTAAGCGCAACCCGCACCACATCACCTGCCAGGGGCAGCGGGGCAGGTGGCTGCTCGTCACTCGTCACACCGTACCACGAGCGATCCGCCGTGACACCGAGCCGTTTTCAGGCTTGTGGCTGGTGTTTTGTGGTCGTACGAGGCTAGTTCAAGGCACGGTACGACTGTAACTCTTCACTGTTTCTGCATTGAGTGCTTTGTACAGATTGGGCGCAGACGCGGGAGGGAATGCAGTCGTGGCGTCAGCATGTTTGCGCGCATTGCGCATTTTGTACCTGCGCCTGCGCGGTTTGCGAGCCGCGTCGGAGCGAGGCGAGCAGGTGGTTGAGGATCGCACGAATTGGCGGCGTGAGCGTGCATTTGCGGTGTTTCCTGCAATGCGTGCGGATGTCGGTGTCGCGTAGCGTTGTGGACGAAGGATGCTGCGTTTCATGCGCGTCTTTGGATCTGCGCGATGGTGATGGAGGCAGGTTTGATTGCATGTGGACCTGGAGAAACTCATGCTGCGGTGTAGGCATGATTTGCGTCAGTTCAAGGGATAGGAAGAGAGGTGAGGGAAGGATTTTGGGACGTTGTTGCACTCAGTCATCCGTGGAGTCTATCTGTCTAAGTCTAGTATGGTGGATGTCAGGAGTTGTTAAGCTCTCTAGTTATGGAATGATCCATGGAAAATAGTGGAATCGCTCATTATTCTAAGACCAATACGGTGAGTTCCAGGAGTTATCGAGCTCGTCAATCCTGACTTGAGCAGATTCACGACACTTGCCACACCTTTGACATTCTCAGACGGTTTTCACGCTCTTCATTCCTCAATGGTATTAAACACCATCTTCTTGCGTTATGGTTTCCGCGGCTGGTCTGGGTATCGAATCGACTGCGACACTTGCGAAAGAAAAACAAACCAAACAGTCATAGGAAAGCTCAAGAGGCCCCGAAAGTAGCAACGGAAGAGGAACTCTCAACACAGCCCACAGTAAGAGAGCTTTCCATGGTCTTGCCCACGCCATGGACTTGGAAATCTGCCCCTGGGCAAGAGAAGGTTGAGAAATGGAGGGGAAGTCCACCAATTTATACCAGTTCAAGTCTGAGCAATGACCGCGGTCACATGAGGACGACATCATCGACTGCGAGCAGGGGCCACATGGCGCCGCACGCCGTTATCATGTGTCGGCGGGCTATGATGTCGCCGTCACAAGCAAGAGAGAAGCATGTGGAAGTCTCGGGGGGTATCTGCAGATATAAAAGGTGTCCGCCAACCCAAGGAGCCTTTGTCAAGTCCAGAACCTTCTGTCAAGTCAGGGAGCATTCATGGATGCAAACCACTTGTGACAGATTTCCAGAACAAAATGACTTTTGTGTCCTCTGTTGGACCTGCTCTACTCGCACTGCATTCTACAACGCTGTCGGAACTGCGAACTAAGAGCCTTGCTCCTCTCGTGGCAGTTCCCACCAGCGTTGAGAAACAATGACAAACGCTATAAACATTATGAGAGCCTTTCATACCTGGATGCGGATACAGTTACGGGTGGCAGATTTCAGGCGGGGGCGCGTAGGGACAAAGTCTCAGCGTCGCTGGCAGGAGTATTCGCCTCCCTTTGCAGACCAAAAAGAGGTGTATGGATGGGAATTTTGCGCTTGGTCGTCGTCTGTTTAAATGCCCCGCTACGTGGTCGCAGTCCACTGTTGTGTGTTGTGTTCCAGTCGCCCTGTCAAATGCGCCCCCTGAAACAACTCACCCCCTGACCCCCTAGAACTTTGCCAAGTGATGCATTCCGCGTTTTACCAAGGGAACTACGACAGAAAATTCTCTTTTGCATTGGTCAAATGTCGACAGCGCTTGCCCCACCGAAAAATGCCGAAAAGTCGCTTTGCGACGGCGCGAGCAACCCACTGCGACAACAATCATCACTTCACAACAACCTTCGGTCGCAATGACTTACAACGTTTTTCTGGTGTTCTCCGTCATCTTCAGAGTCTGTAGAAGGCTTGGCATAGATGTCCAAGCTTAATATCGGCCACAACCCCCAAAATTGCACCGTGGAGCCCAAAAACTTGACCCTCGGCCCCAAAACACCAACCACACTCCCTGAGGACTGTAGATCATCAAAACAAATGGCCAGAAAGGCCAAAAGAAACTGCGTCGGCCGGGAATCGAACCCGGGGCTGATCGAGATCGGGATTTTGAGCTTCTTGGTATTGAAACTGCGGATCCTGATGGCAACGATCAATTTTACCACTAAACCACCAACGCCGTTCTAGTGACTTGATATGTTAAGATTCAGATCTACACAAAATATATACTTAATATTGTACTAGTTCAAGCAAAATGTTCAAAAAATTGTGGAAAGCTTCAGCTTCCGCGGATTTTGAAGTTCCTAGTCTCAAAATTCAAACGAAAGACTAGTTTTAGCATCTCGCTTAGGCAAATTTGCTGTGCGAAAAGCGGGGTTGGTGGCTTTCAATTGACTGAATATCCTCGGACTCCGAACTATTTCAGGACATCAAAAAATTGAAAGAATTCCGACATCAAGAGACCTCTCTCTAGCACTGGCTCAGAACCAATTCTTCTTCAACCGGCACATCAATTATAGGTCAATTGCAACGTCCGACTCATCATTACCAGAATGCTCACGATTGGTCCAAATGGCGGGGTGCGGCACAGCAGCGCTGCAATAGATAGACGCTGATGAAGGCGCGACGTTTGGACCGCATGCAACCCACGCTCTCCTGCAGACAAAAAACCAATCAATTCACAGGCTCATTGAATTATGGAGAGCTCATCAACAGCAGCATCATGGCTCTCATATGCCGTCACAGCAGTCGGGCTGGGTTCGCTCACCTCGCAAGCAAGCGTCATCAACGACAAGATGGATCCATTCCACGAAACACGCACCGTCCAGCATCTGGGCATCTGGTTCACGCGCCAGCCGCAGTTCCCATTCTGGAAAGTTGCAAAGCCGCCGCCGACCGGACCCGAGATCAACGCAAAGCTCAGTGATGGATTCTGTGGTCTTAATAATGTATATCTATCGAGGGTGCCTGTGGCACAGCCAGCCGGCGATGCTGGATGGGCTACGTTTCTTGCTGTCATTCATCAAGAGCCATTGGGTGTCAATTCGCCTTCCAACAGTAATGCTGAGCTTGAAAAGGGTTTGCTACCAAGAGACATTGAACGCGAGTTGACGTCTCGCGGCTGGGAGTCTCTCCCGACTGCGCCGCTTGTCCGCCACAGAAAGTCGGCATGCACTACAATCAGCCGGACGACTCTCCTGACGCTCCTCTCCCTGACCAATGCTCGTCCAGTCTTTCGCCATAGCGATGCAGCAGGCCATCGCGCTGCGTATGCATCCTACACTGGACAGTGGTACATTGATTGGCCACTTGGGTCGCCGGCAACGGTCCACTTTGCTGCCCACGACTCCCATTCTGCCGCGACAGATGTCTATCCACCTTCGTTCGAACGTAGGGTGGACAAGTGCGTCCAGATGATGGCTGGAGTAATCGCGACATCCGACTTCAAAGTCGCGTTCCCGGGGCGCAAAACCGGGTCGATACGTCCTCAAACACATCCCAAAGGGGTTCCCAGGAGCACATGGGAGCCGACACCTCTACAACATGATGGGCGGAAAAGTCTACGAGATCGACTTTCTGCTTGCGCAGAGGCTTGGAGACCACGACGCGGAGCCACTGGGAGCAATCAAGCTCAACCTTCCCAGCACCTTGGACGGAGTGGCCGTCGAAATGTTTGTCCCCGCTCATGAGAAAGCAATCTTGACCCAAGCAATGGATTGCCTGCCATGGTCACCGCTTTCCTGGAGTATTCATCGGGGCCTTCGGGACATCCTCATGGCATTTAGCAGAATTCGCATGGACGGATTGCGCCAGCAGTTGGCATCCACGCTTCGCCACGCAGTGTTGGATGACCCTTTCGCGCTTGATGCAATGGGATGGGAGCCAACGTTTGTTCGGCAACACATGGGGGAGATGGCTGCTGGAGCGGTCGTCGCAGGTAGCGGAAACTCGGGTGATCTGGTCCGGGTCGTCACTGATGTTGCTCTGTCGCTGTGTGCCAGCAGCAGTCCCAACGACTTTGACGAAACGACTTTCTGGAGGTCATCCGCCGAGGAATCCCAAGGCCTTGACCAGCAAGCCATCATTGCGCTCACCAAATGCTTCACGGTGGAGTGGAGCATTGACTTTGACTACCAGATGTACCACGACCTCCCCCTTAAACTGTACTTTGCCGAGCCATCTCAAGTTTCGGAGCAGGAGGAGGCTTTGTTCATCGCATGTTCGCTCAATGTCGATTTGGACTAGTTCGTTCAATGGTGAAAGCGACCCGTTCGCGTTTCGGAAGTCGTATTCTCGCACTCCAAGCCTAGAATGTTCTCATCAGCACAGCCGTGACGGACACCGTTTGTTTCAAAGAATCCAAGAGGGCTTCCCGTGCGAACCGCAGAGACAAGTTTGACCATCAACCGCCATCAGTGGTGCGGTTCTCTCCCGATTTACCACCCGCAATAAGCGAAACAAAACGGAACGTTTGCATTGCTTCAAAACAGCAAAATCCAGAGCGAGCGGTGCGGGTGAACGGCTGCTGAATGTGCCTTGGTACCTCGTTGCGAAACGACCAACGAAGAGCCAGTTTCTTGGGATCAGCGATTCAACTACTCATGCGCGGCTCGCCTCGCTCGCACCCCCGGCAGGCCGACAAGCCGTTGATGGCGCGCTCTTTTCAAGAATCTCGGCATCATGGGCTAGAAAACGTCCGTAGACCCTCGCTTTCTCGCACAGGGCTTCCATGATTCCCGAGGAACTCTTCCATCGCGGGTGGGAGGGATTGCTAGGCGGAAACAGGGCGACGGCGCGTCATAGTGGCAGGGCACAGATGAGGCTATCGTGGGTGTCCAGAACATTGGAGCCTGATGACCAAGTCGACCGGTGCGATAGAGAAGTCCGCGGTTTGGTTGGCATGACGGTTCGTTGTAGCTCGCGGCTCCGAAGTTCCTTAGGTCCGTCCTGAGGGTGTGATAGAATCGAATAGAGCCGGATGAGAGAGCATGCGTCCGTACGCGGGCGAGGAGGCCTAGGAGGCGAACAGGCGGTGGTGTGGAGAGCAGACAGAATCGCAAGCTGTCATAGGCATTTCCAAAGAACGACAAACACGAGTCAGGATACAAACTGGTCGAAGCGGGCATGACTCACAGCGTCGCCCATGAACTCGACTTGACACCCCGGTTGTCGTGCCTGAACAACACACCCTCTCATCTCATCATCACGCAAATTTCTGCTCTCATGAGTCTTTGGGAGCTCCAGAGCGCCTGTAAACCGTTCAAGTGACACTTATGCGCAGTCACGGAGCTCTGGGTCACTTCAGAACCAATGATATCGCCAAAGTCGTTCGCCGCATGTTCCGCGTCGTCTGGACTAACCTCTCTCCACCCCAAATATGAGCCTGCTTGCATATCCTGAACCGACGGCAGCTCCCTAGGTGTTGCATTCAACAGCCGGCTGACAAACAAAGGGGTTTCCGTTCCGCAATGTCGAAACAGCCCGGCAGTCGCCAGCGACCAACCACCTAATAAGTCCGAAAGACTCTCGGGATCGAAAGATCGCGGAGCGGGGCGTTGTACTCCTGTACTGGCTTGACCTTACAGTTGCTGCTGACTTTGAGGCACTCTCTACTGGTCAGCATTATGCGAGCTCCGTCTCCTCCGCGGCTCTGCATGTCCACGCTCCCTCGACTTTGCGCCTGCCTTGCGAACGAAGTGCCTAGCGCTCCCGACTCCAGCTTTTGGACCCCAGATCGGACGGACTAGGATTATGGTCCATTTTCTTGTCATCCAAGGTCTGTCGAAGCGCCCAATCGGGAAACTCCTGAACCAGGGGATATCAAATCTTGCCCTACGGGGCTGAGTTAATCCTTCGAAGACCATGAGGAGCTTTGACGAGCACAATTCGTCTTTTTGGCCGTGGATAACCACAGCCAAGCAGCCTCCTCCCTGACTTGTCCAATGGGCGATGATGTCCAGAAATTTGTCGGCCGCAACCTGGCAAGGCATTCAGTCGAATTGCAACATGAAATTCGGCAAATCAGCAAGTCGACGCATCAACTCGAAGCAAGAACTTCAAGAAAAGAAGAAACCGTCTCTGCTCAAACACCTGTCACAATGGCTCAGAAGCGAGATGAAGTTGACACCGGCGAGAAAAAGAATGCATATGCAAAGATCAAAATCCATGTGAAGGCACTTGAGATGCATCAGGTAGGAAGACACGACGTCTTTCCATTGGTCCAAGTTTTCCAGGAATTGTTCTGCAATGTTTATGCACCCGCTGCTCTGTCATGGCATTGTGTGTGGCTTTGGGGAGAATGAGGCGCTATCTGGTTTCGAAAAGAGAAAGGTCATGGCACGTGCCAAATCCGATGTGTACGCCTAGCGTATTCCAAATGCGCACAAGACTTACACACGCGTACGAGTTCCTTGGCTCATGCGAGAGCCTCAGCAGCACTGGCGATTTGTCATATGGTGTGCTCGGCAAACGGAGTGGAAGATTGGGAGACGAGAGAAGTCTTTCAGTGTGAACAGCAACATCGTAAGCTTTGAATGAGCTTCACCAGTCAATGGAAAACAGTAACGGCAAGCCGAACATTTCACTTACCGCTAAGGCATAAGTGGCAAAGTTGATTTGTCAATTCAGACATTACAGGTGACGGAGCCCTTTCTTTATGCGTTGGGGCGTTATTGGTTTCACCTTTGAGAATTTACGCTAGATGTCCATCTCCCGCCCTTTCACTGCACCCGTCCAGGAAATCCAGGAAAACGACTGCTCCATTTGGCCCTGGAAATTCGTCCGAATGAGTCGGCGGTCTCGAGGCCCCTCGTTGACTTTGAACATTGAAGACTTCGAAGGAACAGCTTCTTGTCGGCGAGTCTTTCCAGCATCGCCTGATGAAACCCCAGTCATGATGGCCGCAACTGACCGACCTTTCCAAGCAAAGTTGGCTCCATGTTTACTTTGTCTGGCAGTTCACGCCGACCATCCGGTCAAGCCGGGAATGCAAATGTTCCTTGGAATTTTCCATGGCCAACTTCATGAGACACTAGCCGCCCTGCACGCCCGGGGGTTTCAATGTCAGTTGTCACAGGATTTACAGCCGGACCGTCAGTTCTCCGCCCGCCTCGATCACGGCTGCATAGTGCAATACCCCCTGTGGAGCTCAGAATTATGGAATCTGGAAGCAAAAGAGAA